TGTACTAAGACCCGGCGAATAAGTCCAGAGGCTCCAGAAGTAGCCTTGGGAATTCCAAGGTCACAGGCTCAATTCCAGGTCAGGGCACATGCTTCTGTTGCAATCCCTGGCCGGGGCATGTATGAGAGGCAACTGATCAATGCGCCTCTCTCACATCGATGATTCGACGCTCCTTCTATCTCTCACTCCCTTCCCCTTCCTCTAAAATCAGTAAGCACATCTTCAGGCCAGGATAAAAAAATTTAAAACATGAAACACCTTATGATCTGCAAGCCCACTCCTGGGTATATACCTACGGGAAATGAAATCATTATCTCCAAGAGGTGTCTGCAGTCCCGTGCTCGCTGCTGCAGTGTCTACAATAACCGGCACGTGGAAACTGCCAAGTGCCCGTCAACAGCGGAAAGGATAAAGAAAATGTGGTATAAATGTATCCTATGGAACATTATGCAGCCACAAAAAGAAGAAAATGCCACCATCGGTGACAACACCTATGCACCTAAAGACATTATGCTAAGTGAAATAAGCCAGTTACAGAAAGACAAATACTACGTCATCTCCCTTAAACATGGAGCCTAACAAAAAAGCCAAACTCACAGAAAAAGAGAGGAGAATCGCCAGGGGTGGGAGGAAGGATGTTGGTGAAAGGGTACAAGCTTTCGGTTATAAGTGGATGGGTTTTGAAGATCTAAGGCGCAGGATGGTGACTATAGTTAATAATGATGTATACTTGAAATTGGATGAGAGAATTGATCTTAAGGGTTCTCACCATGAAAAGGGGGGAGGAAGTGTGGCTCAGTGGATTGAGCGCTGGCCTAGGAACCAAAGGGTCGCTGGTTCGATTCCCAGTCAGGGTATATGCCTTGGTTGCAAGCCAGATACCCAGCTGGGTGCATGCATGCAAGAGGCAAGCACACATCAATGTTTCTCTCTCTCTCTTTCTCCCTTCCTCCTCTCCCTAAACATAAATAAGTAAAAATAAATAAATAAAATCTTTTTTAAAAGGGGGAAGCATAAATAGATAAGGTGATGGATAGTTTAATTAGCGTGGTTGAGGGAATAATTTCACAATGCATAGGTATGTATCAAAATATCACACTGTATACCATAAATACATACAATGTTTAGTAGTCAATCTCACTCTCAGTAAAACTGAAGAAATAGAACAGTGTTTGTCTCTACTGATTACCTCTATCATGGGGGGTTTCATAGTGTAATATTTTATTTCTGAAGCTGATTTGTGGGTACACAGCCATTTACTGTAAGTCTTACATAGTTTCATAAGACTTAAATATCACATAATGCACATTTTAATGAGAAAACTCTTTTAAAATTGAAACAGACGGCATTGCCCTGGCTGGTGTGGCTCAGTGGATTGTGTGCCGACCGGAAAAGTCACCGGTTCAATTCCTGGGCAGGGCACATGCCTGGGTTGCAGGCCAGGTCCCCAGCTGGGGGCGTGCAAGAGGCAACCCACTGATGTATCTCTAGCACACTGATGTTTCTCTGCCTTTCTTCTCCCTCCCTCCTCCTCTCTCTAAAAATAAATAAATAAAGTCTTTTAAAAACAAAAAAAGATACCATTTTATACCCTTCAGATTGGCATAAATCAAAAAAGTCTGATAATACCAAGTGCTTGTTGGCCATAAAATGGGGGACCCTGGGATTCTCAAACATGAAAGGAGAAATTGGCACAACCACCTTTAGTAGTGATTTGTTCTAATCTGGAAAAGCCGAAGCTGCACGACCATTCGACCCAGCGATTCGACCCGGGGCATGTACGACACGTTAGCATTTGCTAACGGCGCACCCTGAGGTTCTTGCCAGGAGCACCAAGTGATGGGCGTGCTCTGGGCAGCATGGTTGGCTGGAGCCAAAACTTGGAAATATCCCATATACTCATTATTAGAGGAACAAGTATGAATCGTGGTAAAAATCAGATGATGAAATACTACACAGCTGTTAAAAGTTAGTAACACGAATAAGATGTCCAAAACCTAACACTGAGAGAAAATTCTAAAACACGTAAAACAATACTGCATTTCGTATGTGGATATAATGAACATTAAGTGAGGAAATTATGAAATTACAGAAAGGCGGGATACACATCCCAATCATGACTGAGGCTGCTTCTGGGAAGAAAGGGGAGCAGGACTGGGGAAGAGACAAAAATAATAACCTTAGGCCCACTATGGCTTTCCACTGTATTTTAGAAGAAGCAGAAATGAAAAATGTAAACACTGCTTATTTCTGGAAGGTGAGTTATGAGCTTATTACATTAATATAACTTGTTGCATTATAAACTCAGAATAGATATACTCCAGTGCTTGTTATATTATTCTTTGCACTTTTCGGGGGGGGGGAGGACTTGGGGGGGTCAATTTATGAACGAGTCAGCTAATCCTCTCCCCATCTACCTACCCCCAGCCAAAGCTTCAGTGAACGACAGGGGCCAGGCACGCAAACAGGAAAGAGCACGGAGGAAACCGCCATGTTAGCAGAAACCACGAAGCTGGTCGAAGACACAGACAGCCTGCTTTAAGCAGAGATCACGCTTGCAAAAGCCATAACTTGCATTCATGCAAGATTACACTTCACACAGCCATTTGACCACATAAGTAGCTCGTTAAGAAGTTACGCAGCTCTAGGTTCAACACCAGCCCTGCCAGATATCTGCGATGTGGCCTTCGGTAAATTTCACAACAGCTCTGGGCCTTATGTTACAATGGGGCGTACAACCCCTGCACCTCAAGGATCCTGGTAAAGACTAACTCTCCCTTCTCCAAAGTGCTTATCAGAGTGCTTGGTGCACAGTGACTGGTTCAGTGAATAGGTATTGTGTATGTCAGAAGTGAGATAAGAACCGCACCCGTGGGCCTCTATTTCAGCAAAGCAGTTACAAACAACCAAACTGATGCAGCAAAGCAAGTAATCATTCAACAACAAAGCGAGTCCTGGTGTTGACTAAAAGGTGTGGCTAAAAGCAATGCAAGAGACAAGATGGGAACTACAGACTCTGAAAGATCCCATTTTAACAGCACTACAAAGGCAATTTTATAAATCCAGCAAAGTGCAAACTGTCCTCAAATAGAACAGTTTACCAAACTGAACCGGTAATCTCAAGGTGGGTTCCAATTGGTCAACTGATCCCAATAACCCGTAATCCACAAAGAAAGTTCTTAGACTCCCTCACTTCAAGTTTTAGAAGATAAGGTCTTACAAGTTTCTAAGAAGGGGAGAACATTTTTAAAAAGTACTTGGAAAAAAAAAACACATTCTTTTCCAGGCTTTGAGCCAAAAAAAATTCTTCATTATTTTAAGGACACAATGTACATTAGTGGATTAAAAATTCGTAATTCTCAAATTCAAAAGGGATGCAAAGTAAATTTTAAAAGTTAATAAAAAATATAGCAACCCATAAATGTACGGAATAAAAATTTATCACTTCACTAAAATAAAAGTAGACTTAAATGAACTCCCCAAAGGAGCCATACAAACTTCCACGGACCAAATTATCCCTAAACTACATACATTCTTTTAAAATACAGAAAAGTGTAGGTTAGCAACCTAAATTATAAGCTTAAAATGGTTTTGATGTTACAAACCAGACCAAAAAAAAAGTTCACAAAACAAAAAGCTAAAGTTTCTAAAATTCATAAGACAAAAAGCTAAAGTTTCTAGAAGTTTGTGTATAAGAAACCGAAACAAAGTTTCTAAATATATTGGATATGTAATATATTGAAACAATTATGGATTAAGTCTGTATAGGTTTTTTCCTGAAAAGGCAAGTCATATTATAAAACAATCAGGAAAATTCAAACTAACTGGAAATTCAATGAAACTGAAATAGTAATTGTAAAAAATGTGATCGCTGTACCATGATTACGTTAATAAAACAGAGTCCTTATGCTTTAGAGATACTAAAGTATTTATGAAGCAAAGAAACATTGGAGATGGGGACAGAGATGGATAGGAGGGAATAAATGAAACAAAACTGCCCATATTTTGAAAACTGTTGACCCAAAGTGATATGTATAAGGGGTCCACCATTCTCTTGTTGCTACTTTAATGTAATTTAAAAATAGCCACAGTAAAAAATAAATAAAAGCAGCATCTGTATTTAAAACTTAATTAGGTTAAAAGCCAGAGCTAGTTGGTGAAAACGATTTCACAATAGAACAGAAAAAGAGGTAACAAAGCCTTCCAACCCTTACTCGGTTTAGTGCTAGAATGTTCCTTCCTTTTCTTTCTATCCTCCCCCTCTTCCCTCCGGTCTTCCTTCCTGATGTCATCCGTTGCTGTGACTTAGCTGTCTCCCTCTGTATCCGTAACTTCCCCAAAGCCAGACATACTTCCAAATTGGTGCCTCACAACATAGTCAAGAAATATTTTTCAACAACGAAGCATATTCAAGCACTTTAAAAATTTTTTGGTTTGCCCTAAACAAGTGATTTTTAAAATAATACATTATCTATTTAAAACACAACTTATACATATTGTATTACACATTAGTGGGGGTGAGTAATCTAAAGCTTTCCGCCAACGAGTGCACGATCGGAAGTTTGAGGACCATCGTTTTGGACACTGGGACGCCATTTAAAGTTTCTGAGGAGGGCAAAATGTGAAAAGTCCTATATTAAGAAAAATAATGGAGCAGAACGCCCCGGGGAGAGAAAAGATGGGAGAAAGACTACAGTGAGAAGCAATCGTATACTAACTCCACAAGGCATTCCTTCAGAAGTGAGCTGGGCAGCAGGACCCACGCAGGAAGAGGATGGGGGACTTCAATAAGAGGACTTAGTGATTAAAGTATTGTGAAGGATGACGAAGGGCTTGGCGGGGGATGTCAGAGACCCTGCCCCGGCGGCGAGATGGTGAGTCTGACCCACAGTCAAGTACAGATGCTCCTCAGACACCGGAAGCCCGAGAACCCAGATTCAGCCAAAGGCCTGGGCAACGGAAGTACACAAGCCAGACATCTACACATGTGACCCCCTCACCCCAACATGTGAACTCTTAGGGAGAGACTTGGTAGACAGGCCAAAAAGTGTAACCCCAACCTTAAGGCACATCTTATATTGAGGTGGCAATAAAGAACAAGTGGGAACCCAGAAATAGCTGCCTGAGAGGTAAGCCACACTGTATTTCAAAGTGGTCCCAAGAGCGGGCGGTCGGGGGCTTGGGCCACCGCGGAGAGGCCACCAGGAAAGAATGCTGGGAGAAAACACATCATTGGTAATAACCCTGAACGGATGGTGCGGACCAGCATCGGGTATCAGAAAAGGGGCAACGAGGGAAATGGAGACGGATTTAGGTGCGCAGCGCGGTGGGGATGTGGGAACGCGCCTAGGAACGGAGGTAGCCAAGAGGTAAACAATCAAGATCCCAGAGAGAGGAGGCATTCTCCTTCGTTCCCAAACCTGCCTCCAAATTCTCTAGGCCCTGGCGGACCCCAAAGTACCTTATTAAGAGGGCGGGGAGTTAAGGGTAGTCTTCCCGGAGGCAGCATCACATGAGCTGTATTTGAGGAAAAAGTCTAGAGGCGCTGGAGGAAGGGCTCTCTGCAGAAAAGTGAAGGGCTGGAGGAAGAGGCTGTGGGGTGCAAGGGCCCCCCTCCGCCCGAGGGCGCGCCCCTCGCGGACCGCAGCCCCGACAGTCTTCCCAACCCCGGACGCGCGAAGCCGCCCCTCCCTCGCAGCGCACTTACCGCTCCGACTGCGAATAGTGGCACCGGCCCAGCAGATTGAGTTTGCAGAGGTGCAGGTTTTCGCAGCCTCTGCAGTACTTGCGACGGCAGACGCGGGCTAAGGTAGTGGCCACCACCGACCGGGTGACCCCGACCCTGTCGCCGGTCTCCAACACCAAGAAGTGGTTGGGCCCGGCCGCCTCCAACACCTCGCAGAGCTGCGCCTCGGAGAGCTTAATCTCGTCGAGCAGCGCGGCCAGGGCCATGCGGCCCCCATGGGCGCACAGGATTTTGGAGATGAAGGAGCACACCGACGGGTCCGCCATGGCGCTCCGCTGGTCTGGCCGCGACGTGCGTCTCGGCTCGGGGAAGAATCGAAACTTACGGGAGCCCCGGGGGCGGAGGCGGGCGCGGGCGGCGCTCCGGCTGGGCGCGCCCGGGGTTCGCGAGCGCGCGCTCCCCGCCGCGGGCAGCGGAGCCCAGCAGTTTCGGTTTCCCGCTCGCCCGCGGGTGGAGAGGGCAGATACCACCGACCTGATCTGGTGGGGTCAGGTCTAAAGTCCACCGCGACAGCAACCGAAAGGAAAAAAGGCGAACCCCGCGGGCGGATGGGCAGACGACCGCGACGGCCGCCGCCGCCCTACGTACCGCTCCCCCTGGGTTCTAGGCTCCGCGAGAGTGAGGTCCCCAGCTGGGCAGAGCGAGACTTCTTCGGAAAGAAGAGAAACTAAAAATGATCTCGGGGCACTGGAGCAGTTTTTATAAGGCGGCCGGGGTGACGAATGACGCGAGTTTGGGAGCCGCCTTAAGTTGAATATCATTAACTTCACTCCATGTTGGAGGAAGTAACTTGAGCAAGCACGCAAGCCACCGGGCTGGATCCCGGATGCTCCCCGAGGTCCCCCAAATCCGGCTCACAGGCACCGCCAGACCTTGGGCCGCCTCGCCGGGACCGGTGTGTCCTTTCTCCTGCGTCACCACGCCCTTAAAAAAAAAAAAAAGCGATTATTCCTCTCCCTCTCTTTTGCTTTCTCTCGAGATTTTGAAAGAACCTCTTCCTGACCTTTGCTGGCCCGCATGCCTGCAATTGCTGACCGCGGTGCCCCAGGCATCCCTGAATTCTCTACAGCAAGTAGCCAGAAAGGAGCATGTTTAGACAGATCCCGAGATTCCAGGTAAGTTTTTCTCTTTAGATCTCTGGACAAGACCTTTTTTCCTGTGGGGACCCACTGGGTCCCCCGGAGTTGGTATAAAGGTTAAGTGAAAACTTGCGCTACAAAAGATACAAAAGAAATTTTATCTGAAATTCTCTCGATCTGATTAAAGCAGAGCCTCCTGAAAATACAGCTACCTTGGACTCGCTTCCTAAGGAGTTCACCGCTAGTTCAGTTGCCAGGTGGAGGAGACACACTGACCGTTGCCATTAGCATCAAAAAGCCCAGTAGCACCTTCCATATTCTTCCCTCGAGGCCTGAAAAAGCCCACTTTGTTAAATTGAGAGATACACTCTTCTGGCTATTCCAGTTTTTATTACTGGGGGCTCCCCACCCTTACCCAGGTGCAAATAAATCTTGTCTTTTCTCCTGTTCACCTGTTTGTCAGTTAACTTGCAGGCCCACAAGCCCTGGACCCAGGTTGGAAGCGGAGAAGTTTCCCCCTCAACACTCCAAGCGAAATAAATGTGTCATTGGATCATATGATCCAAGGAAATAAACTTTTTTTTAATTGGTAGAACTCAGTTGTCAAGTGAGAAATTCTACAGAATGATGATTGTGAATTCTCCCCAGGTCAGTAATTCGTGGTGGATGAACTTTGTCCCCCGGGAATGGAATACTTCGGTGTGAAAACCGGCCAAACTGGAGGCCCACACAAGATCGTCTGACATGTTCCCTCCAGCTATTCTACAGTTGCCTTTGATCCGCTGGGCCTTAACTGTGGTCTGATAGGCTCCCAGGAAAGGGCTTTCATGATCAAATCCATTAAATTCAACATAGCATCTCGGCGGAGCCAGAGTGGCTCACTGGGTTGGAATGTCCTTTAAAGCAAAAGGTCAAAGTTTCGATTTCCAGCCAAGGCACATGCCTAGGCTGTGATTCTGTCCCCAGTGAGGGGTGTGTGAGAAGCTCTCTTTCTCTCCTGTCTCTTCTCCTGTGTCTAAAATCAATAAGCATGCCCCTAGGTGAGGATAAAAAATAATAAAAATAAATAAGTCCTTACATTAGTCAGTGACTCCGAACATGCAGAAGTTTAGGACATAGTCCCTGCCCTCAAAGAGCTTGTGTTTGGGAAGACATGAAAAAACATTTGATTGTAAGGGAATCGGGTCCCAAATAACATCACTTGTGCTAAAACCTATGAAACCAAATCTAGATTTAATACCTGATTTAACTGCACTTTCACCCTCTCCCAGAAATATCATCTTAATCGACCAGTCTAGAATTTGGTAAAAAATCTGTAAGGTGAAATCTGTTTTTTTTTAATTATTGATTGATTGATTTGAGAGAATCATGGCTTTGTTGTTCCATTTCTCATGCGTTCATTGGTTGATTCTTGTATGTGCCTTGACCGAGGATCGAACCTACAACCTTGGTGCTTTGGGTCAGGGCTCTACCCAACTGAGATACCCAGCCAGGGTTTGTTATGGGAGCCTCTCCATCTCTCTCTCAACCCCCAGGAAGAAGAGGCAATCTGCATGATAAAACCCTGACCTTCTCTTCCTCCCCCAAAAGATGATGTCCTGGCCTAAAAATAGCCATTTCTTTTGCTAATAATTCACTCTTCTACCTATAAAAACCTTCCATTTTATATACCCTTTGGGGGCCCTTCTAGTTGCTAGATGGGATCTTGCCAGATCTATGAATTGCTTAATAAAGCCAATTAGACCTCCAGTCTTACTCAGTTGAATTTTGCTTATTCACAGGTTAAATGCTGTGATTGGTATATAAGACATCTGAGAAGGTAAAGTACAGTTTGACTAGAGAGGTCGGGAATAGAGACACAAAATCCCCTTCGATTTGAAGCCGTGAAAAACGATTTAATGGATTGCGGGAAGGGAAAAGGCGGCTATCTGGGGAAATTTTGAAATTCGTGCCATTGCAGATTGGGTTCTCCGGGAAGCAGACAGAGCTATGGAGTTGGGACTACAGGAGGTTCCCTGTGGTGTCACACCAGAAAAAGTTAAGGGAAGACAGTAATTGGTCCGTGGGGGCCGTCAGACTGCCACGCCTACCTCTCAACTCTGCCAGCCCGGCTGCGAACAGGCGCCTAGCCTCGGGCAACTAAACTTGTTTCCTGTTGGGGGGGTGGCGCGTCAGGGAGAAGTGCGTGACTTTAGTCCAAACACTGGGGCGGACCCTGAAGGAGCTTAAGCTGGAAGCTATCACCTACACACTCCCTGAGTTGAGCAACACTTGCTAGCTGACGGTGGGTAGTAGTGACTCGTTGCATCGCCGGTTATCTATATCTCCATTTGTATTCAGAAAACAACTCCAGGGGTCTGACGGGCTGCTCTTCCTGAAAGGAAACTCGGCGGAAGAAAGTTCATGTAATTAACTATAGCCTGTGTCAAGGCAATTGGTTGCGAGGTCACGACTGGGCCTCGGTGATATACCTCCACCACTGTGCATCCTCTCTCCCCTCCCCCTCAGCTACCACCTCGGTGTTCTCTGTTACCTCCCTAGGGGTGTAGCCCAAATCCTCATTTCTAACTGGTCTCAGCGCCTTGTCAGACTAGGGTTGCTACTCTTAGCCTGTTCATGCGGTCACCAGTTGACACCCCAATACCTCACCAGAATCCGCACACAAGCCACCATCCATTTTTAGCTGGAATCCACATAGTGAGAAGACCCATCCGTACCCTGAGCTTGGTTTTCTTTCCCTTGCTTAGCTGTTTCTATGGGACGCCTCGTGTGGCCTTAGGGTGTAAGCTGGGAGAGGGTTGCCAATGCAACTGTAATGAGTGACGTGGGAATCTGCGCTGCTTAGTCAGCTCCTGAGTCGTGAGAGGGTCAGCCCCAGATGTACCAGTTCCCTCCTATGTTGGCTTTGATGCTGGGTCTGCCTGGCTTATGACTCCGTGTCTGCTAGGACCCAGCTCATGATGGCCAGTTCTGAACCCAGGGTGAATCATGATCTGTACCAGTGCCCAGCCACAAGGTAGGAGCTGTTTTTCCAAAGGAGTGTAATTCTTCACCACACTTGGCATAACTTCGGGGATGGTGTTGTGATTCTGCCGCTGGGACTTGCCGTAATTGTCACATTATATCGTCTCCCATCGCTGACACCTCCAACACGCTAGGCTCTGCCAGATTGCATAGTCCAAGCAGAAGGGCTGTTTGAATAGCAGCCTGGACCTGCTGCGGAGCTCTTCTTTCCCGCTCTGAGCCCCACTCAAAGCTGGCCGCCTCCTGTGTCACCTGGTACATGGGCAGCGGTAGGATTCTTAGGTGTAGAGTGTGTTTCCTCGGAACCCAAAGATTCCCTACAGGCTCTGCTCTTCCTTCTCTCCGGCAAGCGATCCAAGATAACAGCAATTTGTCTTTTACTTGGGAGGACATGTACCAGGATGCTGCTCACCACCAGGCCTCTGATATCCTTTAGTGAAGCAGTAGGTCACAAAAACTACAGGCTTTACCTCCCACCGTCTGGAGCACTTGCGTCATTTCAAGCCGGTAGCATGTGCTCCAACTTCTTCTTCGGCCTGAGCAGCACGACATGGTTGTTGGAACGGATCGAAGTGATGCTGTGGTTGTCTTTGAAGTATATTAGGACAGAGAACTGAAGAGGGAACATGAAACTGTGGCAAAATTGCAAATGCTGGTAGGTATCCTTGCTGTGTGAATATGAACTATTTCTGATCCTCTTCCCTGACTGGGATAGAAAGGAAGGCATTTGCCAAACGGATGGCAATTGTGAGCTAGAAGTTGCATATGTGGGAGAAGGAGGGGTGGCAGGGGGCCCACAGTGCTTTAAGAAAAAGCCCATAAATAACTTTGGGTACCTGCCTTAACTTTGATTAACTGCCTCCGGTCACGTATCTTTTCTACAACAGATGACAAGAGGTAGTCTAGAAAAAGATGAGGACCTGGGTTAATAGACCTCCACACATACCTACGTTTAGGTGGTCACATTTTCCCGTGGGAAGGCATTCCCAACCTCTGTCCCCCAAATGAATACGTCCCCCCATCCCGCTAAGTTCTCAGAATAAAGGACCTGCTGCCTTGCCCTGTCTTGCCTCCTGCCTTTCATTCACATCAGCAAGGCCCATTCTCGTCTCTGAGAACGTATCGCTAATGAATTCTGCTTGCATACCAAAGCACTTGCTGATCTTTAATTCTTTACTGCATCAGAAAGAAGACCTGAGTTTCCCACAAACAGTCATGTACCTGAGACGGCGTAACTCCACTCGGGCCGAGCCACTCTGTCAGGGGCAGCTGGTGTAAAGGGGTTCTACTCCCTTGCAATAGTCTGCCATCATTCTCTAGCATCCACCCAACTGCTGCCAAGTCAACACTGGCAAGGTAAATGGACATAAGGTAGGGACCACTATCTTTTTGATAGTTAAGAGTGGCACTAACAGCTGCCATCCTCCCTTACCCAGGATGTAATGATATTTTGTGGTTACTGTATGAGGGAGAACCAAAAAAAACCACAACAATTATCTTCTGGAAGGCAGGCTCCTTGTTGTACAGGCTTTCTCTGGTAAGTGAATGTTCCAGGAACCCATCTGTACCAGTGCACCAACTGGTGTTGTTGTGAGAGGCTGCATTCGGCTTCAGTGAATTTTTCTGGAGGACTCAATGCATTTGCCCATTTCATGATGGATGATTTACAAGCACACCTGCCCACACCGTGCCGAGAGGGTTCAGCAGTTTTTGACCAAAAACGGCATGACTGCCACGCCCTACCCTCCCCGTTCACCCAATCTTGCCCTCAGTGAGTTATTTTGCTGTTTCCCCAGGCGAAAAAAAGTCCTCAAGGGGAAATATTTTGCAGGTGTGGAAGAGGTGAAACAAAAAGCGGCAGAAGCACTCAAAGGCATCAAAATTGATAAGTTCAAAGACTGTGTTGAGCAGTGGGAAAAATGTCTCAATAGGTGCATCGTATCCAATGGAGAGTACTTTGAAGACGACTGAAGTTTAAACATGTAAGAATAAATATGCAATTTTTTATTTATTTAGTTTTTTTTTAAGATTTTATTTCTTCATTTTTAGAGAGGAGGAAAGAAAGGGAGAATGACATCAATGTGTGGTTGCCTCTCACATGCTTCTAACTGGGCACCTGACCCACAACCCAGGCACATACCATGACTAGGTATCAAACCAGCGACCCTTGGATTCTCAGGCCAGTGCTCAACTCACTGAGCCACACCAGACAAGGCAAATACAAGGTTTTTTGGGCCCCCCTTCCTATTGGCCTGGAGGGGAGGAGGCAGGTGCAGTTTAAAATGCTCCGTGCGCCTCCCCTGCTGGGATGGCTTCTCATGAGCAGATGAGAGCGACCACGGCAGGGAAGGGTCGCAGGGACGCCACGTGAGGGGCTAGCCCAGCTCCCAAATCCCACCTGCACCTTTGCGGATTAGGAGGATGACAACCAGTGAGTCCATGGACCCAAGGGACCCACTGGAGGCTGTACCTTAGGGTTCCCGTTGCTCCCACTCTAGCAGCGGGAGAGAAAGTCTATGAAGAGGCTTCAGGTCTCAGAGTATTAGTTGACCTCTGACCTTGTGCCCCAAAGTCATCAGAATGTCCCAGTGTTCTGTCATCCAGGCAGATGTTGTATTTCGAGATCTCCGTGGGGAAGGAGAGGAGGAAGTATAACGGCTCGACCTCGAACAGTGCTATAGGCCCTTCTCCCTGGGAGCCTGGCCACCTCTCAGCCACTGGGTTTTGCTTCTGAACACTGATTCAGGAATGGAAACCAGGCAAGCAACTGTGACCTTTAACTGGGGAGACCACCTTCCTTATTCTCCTGCTTACTAAATCTCATTCTTTTCAGATTATACCTGTGAAGCAGTGCTTGGTCAGCTACCCATCTGCTTTCCTCCTAGGAAAACTCAGTTCTACTCCCTATTTCTAAAGCTCTCCTCTGGTCAGGTCCCCTGGCTGCCACTGTGACTTGGATGTTGCAAATGCCTGGCTTCTGCGGTTAGGCGCCATTGCCTGGTGACTGCTGCATCAAGGTCCTATCACTCCCACGGCTGTCAGTGAGCCTCCTAAGGTCAGTGACATCCTACAGGGAAAGCATCACTGAAACTTCCTAGTGACATTGCTGTCCTCCTCACCGCTGTGTGCCCCACATCCTCCATGAATGGGACCCTTCCGAGCCATCCTGTGGATGCCTCATCTTCTGGTGAGTCTTCTGGCCTTGACCTCATATACTTATCCACCATGTTCACGTTCCTGAGTCTTTTAATTCTTTCTTCTACTCTCTTCCCCAGAAATGTAAGCATTTCAGCCTCACTCTTCATGGGCCATCAAATTGTCCAGGCTGCCAGGCGCAGTAATTACGGGCAGTAATTTTTAGCACCCCCGATCCTTGCCAGGGTGCTAAAGCTTGTGTCCCGCGAGACTGCTTCTAGGTGAATAAATTCTTCTGTGTAAAGTCCTGTATTCCAGTTCCCCTGGTGGAGCAGCTTGTTCGGAATGGTAATGTTGGAAGTCAAAATGGACCACTCACTTTAGAAGATTGACAAGGGACACAGAGGAGAGGAAAGGAGAGGAATTATTCAAGTAGCTAGAGGGAGATTTTTGTATTCGTTTGTTTGCTTGCGCGTTACTGTTTTCATGGAACATCTGGGCATGTGTGAAAACTTCGAAGAGCTAAGACTGGGGGGAGTGCAAAGCTGCAGTTTCTAGGGCACATTAGTATGATATCAGGCCACATGAGTGTGTTGAACCACCAGCCATCAAAAAGGGAAGCAAGCCCTGGCTGGGTAGCTCTGTTGGTTGACGCCAAGATTGTGAGTTTGACCCCCAGTCAGGGCACATATATAAGAGTCAACCAATGAGTGCATAAATGGGTGGAAAAACAAATTGATGTTTCTCTTTTCCTCTTTTTTCCTCTCTCTCCCCCTCCCTGTCTCTCTAAAATTAATAAATAAAAATATTTTTTCAAAAAATGAAGTATAACTTATACACAGCCAATGAGTCAGCTACGCTAAGTCTTAGAAATTAGAAGTACATAAACATCAGAGGGTTGAGGCAGATGTAATGTCTGAAGTCCAGGGTAAGCAGATGTTCGCCAGGAGATAAGGGAGTCAGGGAGGCAGTAATTAGCCAGACAGAGGAGGGCAGAGGGAGGGCTTCGAGGGGTTTTCCCTAGATCGAAACTGCCTAGCAGCTACGCTCCCTCCGAAGCACTGAACTGGGAAGAGAAGGAGCAGTAGGTGTACCGGAGGGGTTAAATTTAGAGAGAGAAGGGTAGTTCCCCTCTTTGAGAACACATTTAGACTTTTCTTTGGTGGTGTTAAAATGAGGAACTTCAGGCTGCGAACCTTCTTCTCGAAACACTTGTCTGAAAGCAGAAGCAACGAGCAAGTTGTCTCTGCTCAAGGAGCAAGTCGCAACTCGTCGATGAGATGGTCTAATGCACTAGTCAGCTAGCTCCCAGCGCCTCTCACCTCCTGATATTTGCGGCCTCGTGCAGACCCTTCCCACTCTGAGCAGGACTGACCTGCGTGCTCCACAGGACATCACAGAAACAACAGTGTGAGCTCCAAGACTAGGTCGTAAAAACCATTGTGACTGTCATCTCGTTTGCTCTCTCTACACGTGCTCTGGGGAAGCCAGTTGTTGTGTGGACTTTCTAGCAGCCCGATGGAGAGATCCACGTGGCATGTAACAAAGACCTACTGCCAACCGCAGACACTAGCCTGCCTGGTGTGTCGGGGGTGGGGGGCCATGCGCAGTGGCTGCAGCCCCAGCTGACAGCATCAGGAGGGACTTGACTCTGAGCCAGAATCACCCAGCTGAGCTGCTCAGCAGACACTACGGGAGATAAGAATATTGATTGCTTTAAGCTATTAAGTTTTGTGATACATTGTGACATGGCAACGAGAGATTAATACAGTCCGTCCAAACTCACAAAAGTTCCCGCACACAAAGTAATGTGGACTCTTGAAGAAAACTGGATATGTACCCAGGCCCGGAGGAGCACAGAAAGAATGGATTAAGGGAAGAGAGCAGATAAGGGGGGGGGGGGGGGATTACAACAGGTTACCAGGCTGTGTGTGGCTGGAGAAGGATCACAGGAAGCGGGAGATATCCAAGGCCAGCGCAGGGAAGTTCAAGGCAGGACTGGGCTTGGCTGGCAGAGAGAGGTTTAGCAGCAGGCTGCATCTGGGTGGCGGTTCACAGTGTGGGCGTCTTCCTTGACTACTGTACCACCGGGATGGGACAGAATTAAGACTGTGCCCTGAATGTCAAGGCACCGGGTCAGATGCTGACAAGACCACCAGGCCCTGAGCATTTACTATGTTAAATGTGCTCAGAAAGAGTCTGAAGTCATTGGCATTAAATCAGTGACCTTTCACTTTGCGGGACAAAAACCCAAGCAACTGAGCCACCTGGCTAGGGCTAAGGTTATTTTTTTCTTCTTTTTTAAAATTATTATTTTTTAAAGTTTATTTATTTATTTAAAAATATTTTATGTATTTATTTTTAGAGAGAGGGGAAGGGAAGGAGAAAGAGAGGGAGGGAAACATCAATGTGTGGCTGTCTCTGGAACGCCCCCTACTGGGGGCCTGGCCCACAACCCAGGCATGTGCCCTGACCAGGAATCGAATCACAACCTTTTCCTTTTCATAGCCTGCACTCAATCCACTGAGCTATACCAGCCAGGGCTATTTATTTATTTTTAGAGAGAGGGGAAGGTGGGGAGAAAGAAATGGAGCAAAACATCAATATATGGTTGCCTCTCATTTACCCCCACCTGGAGACCTGATTGGCAGTGCGGACATGTGCCCCTGACTGGGGATTGGAATGGAGATCCCTTGGGTTCACAGGCCAGTTCTCAATCCACTGACCCACCCTGGCCAGGGATAGGCTGGTTGTTTTCAAGAAACAAAAGACTCAGGCCCTGACCAGGTAGCTCTGTTGGTTACAGTGTTGTCCGATAAACTGATGTTTTTCTCTCTGTTTCTCTTTTCTCTCTCTCTCTGAAATCAATACATTCATACATACACATATACATAAAATGATTTTTCAAAAAAAGACTGATGGAGAAGCTTTGCCCTCCCCCTAACTGCCCAAAAGAAGTGAGATAGAAGACCCACCCCAGGAAGGGAGATAACTACAGATCACAGATAACTGCAGTTTAGTATGAACTAAGTGTAACAGACGGGGAGGAACCTTGCAAAGCCTGTTTGATCAAAGTCCTCTCTCTGGGCCCATTGTTGAAGACAGCCCAACAGACACTTGTCTACCACACATTCGGTTTTCCGTATGCATGTGAATTGCTTCCCTCTCCCTTAAGGTCCCGCCCCACAACCCCCCTTTCTCTACGATTCAAGACGGCAACTACACCTTGACTGCCTGATTCATCCTCAGGCCTAGAGTTCTTCTGGAAACCCCCTGTGTGCAAATGTAATAAATTTGGTTATTTTCTGTTAATCTGCCTCATGCCAATTTGACTGTTACACCAGCCAGAAGAACTTGGATAGAAGAATGTTTCCTCCCCTATCCTTTCATGACCAATGAACCTGGGAAGTAGGTACAATTACTATCATGATCAGCTGAGAAAACGGAGGCCCAGAGAGGTTAAGTGACTTGCCTAGGTCACACAGCTAAAGCAAGTGGTAGAGCCGAGAACTGAGCCCAGGTGGTCTGTCTGCAGGGGCTGCACACTGAACCACTGTGTGATGTTGCCTCTTGCTTGTCAGTGATCTCAGATGAGTCATAAACATATTGGTTAGACGGGTTTTCTTACCTCAGGTTAGGTAACCTGCTCAAGGTCACAGAGGTAGGAAGCATGGAGAAAAACATCTCCATGCTTTCTACCTCTGGGGGAAGTCCGGGGGCTGGGGGGAGGCAGGGTTCTAACCCAGGTCTTACTGACTCTAAAGCACTCAACCCTACGTCACCGTCAGCTCTTGCTACAGGTGAGGGGATGGGCTGAACCAGGCCTCTCCAGGACCCTTCATCTTAGCAGCTGGCTGATACAGGGAGTTCCTCCTCTCCGAGCTCATAGATTGCAATGCTTGGTATTTTTCCTGTTTATATTCTATCATGGTAATATTGCTTTCTTGATTCTCCAACGATCTTTCCACCAAAGAAATAATTACATAAGCTACCAGAAGTTGCAAATTCTTTTTCTCAGTATCTTCACATAGACAAATTCACTTCATTTTAACTGGTATGTGTGAATGTTACTTTTTATATTTAAATAAATATTCACCCCCATATCTTTGGCTCATTTCAGTGGAAAATTAGGCCATAAAGAAGAACTTGGGAGGTTTTTTGTTTTTAAGGGGGGGGTCAGAGAAATGGGAGGGAAGGGACAAAAACATCGATTGTTTGCCTCTCTCTCATGAGAGATGGAGACCCAACCCACAACCTAGGCACGCGCCCTCACCAGGAAAAGAACCAGAGACCTTTCGCTTTGCAGGACAATGCCCAACCAACTGAGCCACACCAGTCAGGGCAAACTCAAGGGGTTTTTTAATAGATGCCTCGGTTTTATCTGGGATTATGGAAAATTTTGATATAAAAGTAAAACAAACTCACAGGTGTTCATCGCCTAGCTTCAACAATTATAATCAACAGCTCTCTTAGCTAGGTCTCTTAGTAGTAGTTCAGCCATTACTATATTATCCTTTAGTACAGGTTCAATCACTTTTTAAAAAGCAAATTGTTGCCCTGGCTGGTGTGTCTCAGTGGATTGAGCACTGGCCTGCAAAACAAAGGATCACTGGTTTGATTCCCAGTCAGGGTGCATGTCTGGGTTGCAGGCCAGGTCCCTAGTGGGCGGCATGCGAGAGGCAACCACACATTGATGTTTTTCTTTCCCCCTCCCTTCCCCTCTCTCTAAAAACAAATAAATAAAATATTTAAAAATAAAAATAAAAAGCAAACTGTTCATTGGTATTGTTTCTTGCTCATAAACTTATAGATAATTTACATCTTACTCATTTTAATGATCAGTATCATCCAAAATTCTCATGGTGACTATGTAGTACTTTCTGAATTTAAGAATAAGTCATTTTGAAATGATGGAAAAACATATTTGTTGAAGGACTATATTTTCAAATGTTTAATCCTGGAGTCATTCTCATTCTTTCTTAGAACTGTCAAAAACAGGGTCTTGCCCTGGCTGGTGTAGCTCAGTGGATTAAGCGCGGGCCTGCGAAGCACACGATCGCGGTTCGATTCCCAGTCAGGGCACATGCCCGGGTTGCAGGTCGGTTCCCTGCAGGCCAGTTCCCAGCAGGGGATGCATGAAAGGCAACCATACATTGATGTTTCTCTCCCTCTCTCCTTCCCCTCTTCCCCTCTAAAGATAAATAAATAAAATCTTTAAAAAAAAAAAAAAACAGGGTCTTCTCCCTGTGATCCCACATAACTCACGGGGTGGCAGTGCAATAAAATTTGGTTTTCAAAATATTCTTTTTTAAAAAGATTTTATTTGTTTATTTTTAGAGAGAGAGGAAGGAAGGGAGAGAAACATCAACATGTGGTTGTCTCTTATGTGCCCTCCACTAAGGACCTGGCCCACAACCCAGGCCTGTACCCTGACTGGGAATCGAACCAGCAATCCTTTTGTTCGCAGGCAAGTGCTCAATCCACTGAGCCATACCAGCCAGGGCTAAAATATTCTTTTTGACGGTAAGGTAGAATATTCATGAAACTAGTGAACAAAAAAATGAAAAAAACTAACAGCACTCAATACAGCTGATAAAGTTACTGTGGTTCTGTCGTGGAAATGCTGAGCTCCTTCCTTTCAGGAGACATTTTACTTAAGGAGAATCCACCCTAGCAAGAAATGCCCAAACTTCTCACTGTCTTTCACATTCCTTCAGCAACTCGTGGCCCTGATAAATAACAGGGACATGAGTCCATCGTCACAACCTGGATTATTTTTTACAATCACTCAGAAACTGCTCTTCTGTTGCAACGGCAATAAAGTGGCAAGCTCCAACATGCCTCTTACTTGGCTGATGTGTGTGTGTTTCATAACACCTGGTGAGGCTTAGAGCTGTAGTTGCGAGTAACTGCTTTTTTTTCAAGTGGACTCAATGAATGCCATATTCTGCATGTTACAGCCGCAGTTCAAATGTCCTCTACAGGGATCTAGAGGCTTAAAGCTGTATCTCGAACTGCTGAAAATCAGAAGTCACTTCAATAGATTTAGCAAGTTCAACAGGGTTGTTTACAGCATTATCAGCAATACTTCCCTGACACCCTGGTGTGAGGGGATTCTTTTCAGGGCCCTGGGCACAGACCGAACCCTACACCAGGGGCGAAGAAGCTGTGGAGCCAAGGAGTTGTTAAATAAAATATAACTAACTTCCATGGCTGGAAGTCTTTTAAGAGAAACGATTTATTAGGCAATAGCTAGCAAAAAAAGAGAGACTGGTCTTGGGGGATGGAGTCTAAACCACCAACAGTGTGGTTAAGTAAGAATGAAAATATGTCCATCATCCTGGAGTTTTGCAAGTATTTTTATACATCAAGTGGGGAGCAGTAAGATATAAGCCCGTCTAAAAGGATTCACATTAGCTATAGACAAGGGGAATGGGAGAAGGTGAAGCAGGGCTAATTGTAAGGATGAAGTGTCTGCTTCTGTGGATTAGCTGAGGACAGCAGATTGGAAAGTTCATGTGCAAGTAAGTGGAGTCTCCTAGGGGTCAATGGCGCCTAGTTATTGTCTCTTTGGGATAATCAGAGAAATAGCCACCTGGAAATTCATCTTAAATTCCAACAGATATATAGGGATTTGAGCAGTCTTTTGTCAGAGCTGGCCCATAGCTATTAACAGGCTGTTTTGTTTCCTTTTCTCACACTCTGGATGCTGCAGTTTTAATTTAGAATATCTCTATTTTCTTATTGCCAGGGTTCTTGCAACCCTCCTCACCATGCTATGGCACCAAAGACTCTGAATTTCCTGCCTCTTTCCACCCTTGAGTGGGTCTCTTCCTTAAGTCTCACCTCTTTTCCGGGGGATGAGAGCTCACAGGTGACT